GCAGTTCTGGTTAGGATGTAAAGAGGAATCGCGCGCAGATTTGGAACGTGGGCAGGGATGGGGAAAAGCAGTTTTACCTTCTGCTTGCTCCATGCTCTCCAGCTGCACTTCTTTGACGCTGGTCAGCTCAAGCAGTGCCCGCTTCTTTTCCTCGACCATTCCTGGAGGAGCTCGCATATATTCCCGCTTGGAGTTAGCGGGCCAACCTACAGCCTGGGCTCCTCCGCAAATACCAAAATCCCCCCCCCTTCCTTAACCCTGAGCGCTGGATAAAGGCAGGGGGCAGCTGAGCACGCGGCAGCACACCTGCTCGCCTTCCTACCAGGAAGCAGAGCTCAGCAGCAGTGACCCCCAGCCCACACCTCGACCTTTTTCCAAATAAAAAAACGCAGCCCGCTTTCTGAGACAGCAGGAGCAACCTCGCCTCGTCCCAACATGGCAAACCCCACGGCCTGCAGGATTCCTGCCCTCCCACGTCATTCGGCCAGCAGCCTTTTAAAAAAAGGACGACTTTATCTGAAAGAGATTAACCGCAAAAGCACGGCAGATAAAAACGCTTTCGACAGCAGGTGCCGGATGATGGCTCGCTTCTCCACGAGCCCTTTTAACTTCTTGTTGTCCGCTGGGCAGCGGGGTGGGAAGCTGTCCCTGCCCCTGCCGTGGTGCCTGGTGGGGGTGTCCCCACGTGTGCTCCCCCGTGGCCTTCACCAAGGGAAGAAAAACCGCTCAGCGACAAGGATTATAGGGTCAGCCACCACTGACAACAGCAATAAGGTGGCAGCAAGGCAGCGCTCACAGCTTTATCCACCGCTTCCTCTCCAGTGACATTTAAAGACCCCCTGAGTGCAATGTCCGTGGTTTATCTCTAAGATTTCACGGGTTTTGGTTAAATGCTGAGGGTTAACGGAGGTATCAGGCATCTGTGCTCACCCCGCAGGAGTCATGTTCTGAATTTGGACAGGACAAGAATCACGAGGCAAAAGGACTTGCCAAAAATTGTTCATCTAATAGTACTGGTGGAGGAGGATTCAGTTATTAATATATTATTAATATACGCTACTATAATTAGCAGCTGGATCCTCAGAATGAAGGAACGAAGAATGAATTCCTCTCGGGAGTGAAGCAGAGAAGAAATATTTGCCAGGCACGTTTACCTTGCGTGTCAGTGAACTTTCTTCAAAACCTGCAAAAAAATCTGTGGAAATCTTTAGAGGGCAAGGTGCTGGGCTGAGCACGGCCTCCAGCCCCTGGGCCCTAAGAAAACAAGCCCATCTCACTCTTACTCTTGATTTATCTGAAAAATTGGGCAGAGTATGTTAAAAAATAATAAGGCAGAGATGTATTTCCTGCCTCTAGCAGCTGGCCTGACAGCAAGTACGACCACCTGGCTGGAACCTTCCTGAGCAGCAGGAAGAACGCCCGACTGCAGAATGCAATCGTGTAAACAAAGCGGATGGGGAAAAAAGAGGAAGGACAAATTAAATTCCTAAATCTGACAAAACTGGGTGTGACTTCAACTTCCAGAATGTCCTTTTAAAGTGATTACACAGCGGAGAGCTCAAACTCAGGACCTGTCTTCAGAGGCTCTCGGGGAAAGCTCGTCTCCACGCACAGAGGTGCTGCCCACGGGCTGCACGGCGGCCTTTCCGTCTGCCCTGGGATCCGGAGCAGTTTTTCAGACCCAGTAAAGCTTCGCGGAGACCCTGAGACCTTCCTTTCAGTGCCACAAGTCACGTCCAACTCGGTGTGACCCCCTCCATGCGCAGGGCTCCCAGGAGAGACGTGGCCACGCAGCGCGGCGCTCAAACCGCAAGGGCAGGATCGTGGCGAACTCTGCGAGGGAGCTGTCGGCGGCACTAGAGGCCGCTGTCATCTCGGATAAATGCAGATAAAGGCAGCGGGCTGCAGCCAGCAGGACCCCCCTCGAATCCCCACCACTTGCTTGCACCGAGCAGAAACCAAAAGGACGGCGGCTTTGCACCGGGGGGGACAGGATCCATGTGAGACAGGGGATGGAGACGGGATGCACAGCATCCCCCGCGCCTGTACCTCGCCCTCAGAGCCGGCGTTGTTCAGAGCTCAGCTGGACAAATGATTTGCAATGCGAGACAGCTTGGCGCTGGCAGGAGATCATCCAAACGGCCGGCAGCAATGCTCATCGCTGGCTCCGAAAGTCCCCCAGAAAAAAGAAGAGGAGAAATCGACTGGCAAAAAAAAAATATTGATTCTGGAGGATGGCACGTTTCCAGCCCCTCGCTGTCGGCGCTCCGCAGTGCTGCAGCAGAACGCAGGGAGGCTGAACGTGCAGCTGGGTACCTGTAAATACGCACGGCAGCAGCCTGGCTGCCTGGCACAGCCATATGGCCCTAGCAGCAGGCAGCACTTTGGCCACGGCCAGTGCAGGCACACAGACCGCAGGACATTCCTCCGAGCTGCGCTGCTGCCTTTGCTTTTTTGTTTTTCCCTCCCCTCCGTAAAGACACAGCAATGGTTCATGCTATTTTCCAGCCACCGGAGCGTTTGCTGACCAATTTGGCCAGCTGACACGTGCAGCAGGTAAAAGACAGGGAAGAAATGCTGCCATGGGCCAGGGCGAGGGCTGCTGGCTGGCAGAGGATGCGCAACTGCACTCCTGAGCCCTTTGATCCTCGTTCCTCCCCAGACCTAACACAATCTTCTGCTCTAACCTTTTGGCTTCGCCTGGATAATTTAAGGCTACAACTTCGGAGCCATCGCTGTGATCTAATATTAGAAGATAAGCTTGTTTGTGTTTTTGTTGCTAAGAGAAAGCCGGAGCTTTGGAGAACACTGAAGCTGACCAAATGCTCCTGCAACAGCTGCCGGCAGGAGCCGAAATGCATACAGTGCTTCCCTGACAACTGTTTGCCATTTTCCCTTCTTATTTTATTTTCCTGAAGTTGGCCTCCTTCCAAAATGAGCTTTTCCCATTTAGGTGACCTCTCCTGTTCCTCCAAGTCCATGTTTCCTAGTTCAACGCGTGCAGGCAGGGGCTGTGTCGGTGTATCCTGCTGGTAGAACACACATCCACAAGCGAGGTTTCCTCCACCCGTAATGCATCATTGCTGTGTTTTTTCCCTCGGTAGCTGCAAAGCATCGATTAAAGGTGGGAGGAATTTTCTGGTGTTGATCCCTTTGCATTAACATAATTCGCAAGAGACGGCTCGCTAATAAAAATGCAGGAGACAAACAGATCTCCTCTATTATTTATAGAAACTGATTCGGCAATAAATGCCGACGCAGTGATATTAATAGATGATCTTTTTGGCATTTACAAGTACAGTCACAGTCAAGCTCCCTGTCTGGAGACAGCGCCAAGGCTCTGGTGGGCTTTGTGGAGACCACTTCTCCTGGGAAGAATCTAAAGCTGCCGCAACTTTATTCTGTGCTTGCCAAAACAGAGATAGGGTTGTGAAATGGGCTGGAGTGTGAGCTGCAAGCACAATGCACGCTCTGTCCTCTTGCACAATCTCTCTTTGCACCAGGAGGATCTTTGGCAGCTCGTCTCGATTCAATTGCAAATGACACCAAGCCAACTGACCCTAGCAAAATGACAAGGAGCACGCAGAGGCACTCCTAGCGGTGACTGTAAGTGTCCTGACAGACAAAGACACTGCAGCAGCTACTGCAAATTATTTCCCCGCAGACAGAGTGGATGGATGTGGTTCATAGAGAACCCTTGCAATACCTTCAGAGCTCTAGAAAATAGAAAAAAAATGCCTGAACATCCTGACAAGTCTGGGTATTTTCCAAACAGCACAGACTAGCTTGCTTTCTTGGATCCATTGCAGCTGAAGCATGCAGCAGGCATGCCCTCCTTCCACCAGGGAGGTCACGGGGCTGCCTGCAGATTACATGGCACCTCGGAGCTCCACCATCTTTATCTTTACAAGCTGATAATTTCCATCATTGCTTTTCACATCCTTTGGCTCGAGGCCACTTAAAATATGTCAGAGTACAGAGCATTATCTCCACGCTCAGGACGGTCTGTATTTCAAGGAGAAGTTATTATTTTAGTTCAGAAGAATCTAGCTACTGGAAACACTCCATGAACAGGCTGCCCATTAGAAATACACAGCTCATCGCTGCATTTTATTTATTGCCATTTCATCCACGCCATCAGAAGGGACAGATCTTGCAAAAGTTTACCTGTTTGCAGCAATAAATATGGATCACTCGATGCTCCGTACTTAAATGCAGAAGGTAAATTTCCTTTCAAAAGAGTACCAACCATGCCAGGTTTGTATCTTCCCAGTCTTAAAATCACAGAACCGTACATGTAGAATGGCTTGGGTGGGAAGGGACCTTAAGGATCATCTAATTCCACCCCCCTGCCACGTGCAGGGACACCTCCCACCACAGCAGGTTGCCCAAAACCCCATCCAGCCTGGCCTTGAACCATGGCTTCTCTGGGCAGCCTGTTCCAGTGCCTCACCACCCTCAGAGGAAAAAAATGAATGCTGCTGGAGGGCAGTCCATCTGCTCCCGTGTCACACACCTACGTGCTCCAGGAGGATTTGTTGCCCCCAAACTAATAACGGAGGGACCTAGGGGACTTGGGCAGCAGATGTCTCCATGGGGGCATGTGCAAACCGAACTAAGAACCAGAGGGATGCATTTTTGTCTGAACGCATCTCAGCCCAAAGCTCTTTTAGGAGGAGCTTTGTGTTACAGGACCTACTCCAAGCAGCTGCTGTGCAGTCTGTCCCTCTGTGCACAGAGGCCTTAGGGACTGAGACTGGTAGCAGAGACGACTACTGAAGAAAAACGCCGAGACGCGCTGAAAGGACAAGCAGAAAATCACGAAGCTAAATTTAACCTTCAACCCAGCGATGACTCCGTTCAAAACCTCAGGACGGAGCAGGGGCAGCAGAGAGACTTCGCGCCGTGCCAAAAAAACACCTCTTACAGCCCCCTGCTGCCACCACGGGAGACCTGGTCACAGAGGAGGAACGAAACGCACCGGCACTCTGCTCACTAACCTTCTGCGCTCCCTGGCTTCCTCAGCTGAGAAGTCCTTTCCTGCAGTGGAGGCAGCACCGGCATTGGCAATACCGTTAGCAGAGCCGAGCACAGCACGGTTTGTGATTACACCTAGGGGGGTGCTAGCAGAGAGGCCCTCTGTACTTTTCTCTACAGCAGAATCAGTTTGTTGCCTGAAAGGGGCTCTGAAATAGAGAAGACATAATGGAAAGCAAAGCAAGTGAACTCAACTGCTAACCAAGACCAGCCACCTCCGGGGAACACTGACAGCTCCTTCTCCTTGTTCTGCGCTCGTGTTTTAGAAGGGAACAGCACAGAGGAAAATGAGAGTTTAAAATCTTGTAGAAGAATAAGCGAGAGGAATTCACAGTTAGGCTTCACATCCCTGTTTGCAGCAAAAATGATTAGAAAATGTGACCGGTGAGCAGGCAGGAGGAATGAACGCCGAGACACGTACAGTGAACACCCGAGAGCGGCCTGAGCAGCCCCTTGTGATCGTACCAGGGCGTTAGGAGTGCCCAGTCGACCACTCCAGTGAGTGAAGGAGGTCACCCACGGGCTGTGAACTGCTTCCTGGTGCATACACACTACCGAAACTGCCCAACGTAACCACTCTGGAATGTCTTATCAAGGTTTCCCCTGTGCAGGTACATTTCCAATCCACAATCCAGAACTCAGAGCTTCCAACCCAAATGCTGATTTGCTGCAGCGTTATCTCCGCTGAGAGCCGTTACCTGGTGTACGGGCGGGCTGACGCAGCGGTGTTCGCACCGAGAGGTGTGGGACAGGCAGAGGCAGGATGCCACGGGGCGCTCAGTGAGGTAGATGGACCAGTGGTAGTGGGTGAGGTAGCTAGAGATGTATTGCGACTGGCTGAAATGTAGGGGCTGCTGAGGTCACTACTTCTACCAAATGAAGCACTGTAAAACATCACAAAATCACGTCCTTCAGAGCACAGTAAATATCCAACAGAACATCACCACAGCCGGGCTCTCAGCTGAGTATCACATCTTGGCAAAGTGTGTGCGAGGGGATTAGAGCACACCGGAGCCGCTGCAGATCACTCACACGCAGGCCAGCGCGAGCAGCACCTTTTAGACAAGCCCAGCTGAGTTTCAGCGAGAGAATAACGGCGTGGAGGTGAATCAGTGAAGATCAGGGAAAGGAAAAATCCTACTGCCGTGGAAGCGGCACACCCAGAGCACCCCTGTGTGCTGGGGCAAGGCAGAAACAATGAGCAAGGATCAGGTTGCTGAAAGCAGGGAAGGAGAGAGTGACAAAAGCAGGTCTGGCTGCCTCACCTCCTCAAGATGCCCAGTGCTCCCAGCTCTAAGAACCTGTTTTCAGTGGCTAAAAGCTTTGGCACAGATGAACGGTTGAAGCTCTAATTTTCTTGAAGGCACGTTTGGCACAAACTCTGTACATCTGGCAAATCGCTACCAAAACCATCCAAAAATATTCAAGAACGAGCATGGGAAATTCAAGTTTTGCCATTTTAATGCAAAACCCTTAAAACCATTACTGCCAAAATGCTCTAAGTGCTCACACTTTGGAGAAAAGGAGAAGGGCTCTCCCATGAGGATCTACCCGGAAAAAAATCCTCCCTAAGTGGGATAAGTCACACACCTCTAAAAACAGACTGACTGAAATGTCCCACGTACAGCCAGGCTGCTCGTTGTCTGCATGCACGCTCTAGGATCCTGTCACACCTGACACACCCAGCAACTGGTATTCCTGGCTGCTACTGGTCAGACTGGGCTGCCTGCAGGATCAAAGGCTAGGAAGGCTTCGTCTCACCTCCTGCAGCCTAACAACTCCCATGCAAGCACACATGGAGGAAAGTGGTTGACAAAACACATCGGGGATAAAAGTTGACCTAGAGGAAAAGCAGACCAGGACAAAAAAATGCATGTTTGTGGGAAAGCCAGGGTAACTGGGCTGGGACTGGAAGTTACCACTACAGCAAGAGTCAGAGAGCAGCCTGAGGCTGAAATAAAACTTGGAAGGGGCAGGACAACAGCCAAGGACAGGAGGTCAGAGGAAGGAACCCGTCCGATTCACTTAGGCACTCAATTTGCGAATCATATAAAATGCCAAGAAGGCCGGCCAGCCCAGAACAAGCAGCTGATCCCTAGACAGCCAAAGGAGAGACTGGAGCATCCTGGAAGGCCTCCACGGGGAGGAACGTTACATTTGGGCTCTTCAGTTGATGGCTGCTTGCCAGGTCCAGGTCCCAAAGGAACAAGCAAATTACCGTCACCAGGTAGCAACCTCCACTGGGCTCTACACAACATTTCCTCTGGAAAGCCAGCCCCAGCCCGGAGCATGCAGGAGCAGGAAATCATTTTGGAAGAAAATGCCTCTCCTTCTTGGCTCGCTGCACCAGAAGAAAAGGCGAAGCCTTGGAGATGGGCTGGGAGGAGGGTAAGAGCGGGGAGCTAAACCTGGCTGGTGTGGGCGTGCAGAGCAAGCAGCCGTCAAGTTGCAGAGATGAGGGGGAGAAATCAGGGCCTGGAGTACTGGGACGATGACTGCAGCGGAGCATGCAGCAGGGGAATGAACAAGAGGAGAAGCCTGGGAAAAGCTGGAGGCAACCCTGGGGGGAGCAGGGTCAACGTGGCACCATCCCAGGAGAACCCAAGGCAGAGAGGCTGCGGCGCGAGGCGGGGGCTGCAAAAGAGACAAGGAACTTGGTCAGGGAAGAGGTGGGAGGGTTATTCAGGGAGACCCGACAAGTGCTTCGGAAGCAAAAAGGTAGCGGCTGGAAAGGGGAGATAACAGGATGGAGGTGCCTGGAGAGCAGAGATGGGAAGAAAGGGGAATGGAGAAGAGCCCGGTGATGGCACGGGGCCAGCTCCTACATGCACAGGCCCCGGGTGGCAGGGAAAGGTGGTGCTGGGGCATCACTCACTCGTTCCTGCTCACAAGAAGGGAGCCGAGGCATCGCCAGCTCCATGGGAATTCACCTCCCTGCTGTGCCACCTGGCATGGGTGGCACCGCGCAGTTTGGGGAAGCTTCCAAGACATTTATTCAAATTGTTCACATTTGATGTGAACGGGACCAGAGAATAGCAAGAAAAAGGTAAGCTGGAAAATCTTGTTAATTAACAGCTGTGTTCATGTAAATCTGTAAAAAGGAGGATTATGAATTTATGCTAAAGAATCCAACATTAGAAATAAAGGCACCAACACACTGCTATTCATTTCCTAACATCGCACCATAACATAGCCATGAGGGAATAAGCAATGAAATGGAAAGCAACATTTCACATCAGTAAAAAGAATACTTCTGGAAACAGCTAAGGCAAGTGGAATTTAAAAAAAAAATCTTTAAAACCTTCAAAACCTTAAAAGGCTATGATGGACTTTATGTCATCAAAAATAGCAAGGAGTATCTGCAAATATGTAAAAAGAAGAAAACTGAAAAGGTGATTTCATTTTGGTGTGAGGCATCTCTTATGGCTGAGGTCGAAGGAAGGGTGCTGAATTAATTCAATCTGCTCACCAGTTCTCCTCCAAACACTTTAACACAGAGCTGATGTGAACTGGCTGTTCAAAGGCCAACATGCACTAAAATGGAGAACAGGTTGTCAGAAAAGGGTTCTGTGATTTTTTTTTCACTAGTGGTACACCCAGAGAGTAAGCAGAATGAATGACAATCACTGCCATTAGAGAAAGAGGTTTAACATTTACTTCAACTAGAGCTGAAGTGCATTTGCGAAGTTAACGCAAGCTATTTTGTCCCAATTTTGCAGAAAAGCCATTTTCAACATCTTAAGATGCTGTTGCTGTTGTTTACTCTTTGTTTGGGGGGTCATAAAAGTGCTTGCAGAATGTAACTAGGTATCTTTATGGAGTTTAGCTAAATGCTAAGGTGAGGGGGAAACACAGATGCACAGTAGTTGTCCTGTCAGTAACATACAAGTATGTCATGTTCACCTTAATTCTTTCTCTCTTAGGATGAGCTTTTATCCTTTGGAGTTGTGTTTTCCAAATGTTAACAAAACTCTGGTGACAAAGAGCTTATCTGTAACAAGCAGCAGGTTCCCTTTCTCATCTTATAAGCCGAGGCACAAGGCTGGAGAAATCAGAGGTTCAATACAATTATGTTTAATTTCCCTGTGCTCTTCTACAGAAAACATTAGGAGACAGAGGGCAAATTGATCGTGGTTTAGTTGTTTGTAAAATCATACAAAACTGTAGAAAGTGCACATATCCCTACCCTTTATTCCTCAGCTGGCAAAGTTATGCTCTGTAATTGCTTATAATACAACACCCTCCTAGAAAAGGCCAGAATTCAGCCTTTGTGACAGGATATTTTTATGAGCAAAATACCACTGCCAGCCAAAACCTTAGATGATCTCGGTACAGTTTAACCAAGGGAATACAGTACAACTGTGTGAGTGTAATATTACAGCTGGTTCTGGACTAGATGAGATAGACAGTCAATGTTCATAGAATTTCAACAACCCTTTTAGTGGTGCTATGGACTGGACTGTCTCTCATACTAGGGAAATCAGTAAGGCATGCCAGCTGCAGGAGCAAAAGTTTTCCAATATAATCAGCTGCTGCTTGTCGGCCTGCCTTTTGAGAGAGCTATGGAGGTTGGCCTGTCATCATGTCCCAGGATAGATGTGAAGTCACTGGAACGGATCAGCAGATCAGGAAGAGTCTACTGCTCGAAGTGGCTGTCTGTTTCACCTTTTGTGGAAAAGGGTCTGTATGTGCCCAGCAATTGGACGGACCTAGCCTAGAACAGAACTTACCTCTACCAGCACGAGGATGAGAGCACAAAAAGCATGCCTCTTCCTAAATCTCAAGCAATCGTTCCATCTTCAGGACAGTGATTTATTTCAGAGTCTAGAATTTGGTGAAGGAACCTAAACCCTTGAGACATTTCTGCCCTCTTCCTCAAGCACAACTGGCTTTGCACCATGACACATGCTGTTTTGATGGTTTCCATACTAGCTAAAATAAAGGTGATGGTGCAGTACTTGCAGAAAGTGCTGATCCTCCTTCTCACAACATGGATGAAAGCCCAGTGATGCATTATCTGCCTTACCCGAGGCCATTCATTCACCTCATTCAGAGATGGCCATTACCTTGTACTTCTAGGAAACTAAGCCTCTGACCTCCAGAGAGCTAAAAGATACTGACTATTATTGAAGTTACGTACAGCATTGCTTTTCTGATTCTGCTTGGCTAATCTACCAGCAATCAGAAATTGCTTCTACAGTGTCATGTACACTGTGCAGAAACTGGTTCCTTACTGCCACAAGTAAATGATTGGAGACATCAGTCACGCTCTTTAACAACTGTCATAAGTCATGCATAGGAACGCTGCCATTTTTCTGATAATCTTGATGCCATAAACGCGTACTAATGAAAACCAAAATCAGCTAAGCTCCAACTTACCTGTTAATAGCTATTTGAACATTGATTTCAGACTGTAATTACTTTCTTCTCTTTTTATGATCAATTTCCCTTTTATTATCTAACCATAATACTAACATAAAACTGAGACAAAACATTTTGCATTTGAATTATGTGAACAAGAGCATTTAAATTCAGTACAACAATTTATAAGTCAACAAAAGTGACAGTCTTTAAGAAGACCATTTAGCATGACAAATGTTGACAAATCTTAATTTTCATTTCCTGCTTTCAGAAGAAGAAGGTTTCAAGGCCAATTACACTCATGCAGTGAGCAGAAGGCAAAGAGTTGAAGTTTGGGAGGCATGTTAAGAGAAGGAATGACTGCTGGGAACCTAAGTAAAAGAACTGGGCATACCTTTTCAAGTATGTAGATACGTAGGTAGTAGGAGCACCAGAATGCGGAGCTTCGTTTCCCTTGGATTCATCCTTCCATGGCTGCCGGGTGTAAGAGCCGCTCCGCACTATGTTAACGGCTGATTCTCTAATGCAGGAGAGACCACAAAGAAAAACTTTCAGTCTTTGACAGTTCCACAACACAAATCCTTTCCTTACACATATAAACATTACTGTTTGGAGGTGACATCTCTTTGAAACGCTTCTGCTGGCCTTCACATCAGTTTCTGTGATTACCAGCTGCATTATTTAAGAATCATGAGATGTTGTGATGTTTGCATAAAGAGGAACAAGATCCTTTTCTAGTCAGAAAAGTTGCAATTGAAATTTAGGCTGTCCACAGAAGTAGAGTAAAATATTAAATAACATCACTTGATATTCCTCCTCTCACCTTGAATCAAACAACATTGAACAAATGGACAGGTATTGCAACTGCAGTGAAATTATTTATTCTCCAACCTTTCAGGCAATGACACAAGTCAAAACAACTCAGTATGATAAATCCTTTGCTATACTCAGCAGCAGAAAACAGACAAACATTTGGCAGTATCTAAAACTACTTGACAATCTATGAATAAATTATTAGTTTTGTATTTATCATATTTATCTGAAATCAGGGCTCCTTCTCCTAATTCACACTTTAGCAATATTCTGCTCTGGTTTTGGACAGGACCTTAACCCTATAACGTAATGCTTGTTAGCCAACAATTATTTTTCATTTTTCAATTGCAGTATCTGTCCCAATGCCCTTTCAGACACCTCTGCGTTCCATGAAGTGATACTCAGCTGTTTTGAAATGAAGGAATATTGGGAAAAATCTGTACTACAAAGTACATCTGGGCACCATCTGTTCATGCAGTCCAATCCTCCTCACTCTGCTTTATAGAGCAAAGGACACTTATCAGCAGTCAGCTGGATATGCCACTCAATTCAAGCCACTGCCAAAACCGCTCAGGCTTATCAGTCAGTTAAACACAAGTTGTCTGCTGCAGTCCAAATCGCAGTGGCTAGCTGAGATTAAGCAAGAACACAGCAGGGAGGTTCCAGCAAAAGAATCTCAAACTGTGAAGCTCTCTCATGGTGGTCATCTCCTGTGACTTTTTCACAACAATTACTGCTCACAGTAACTTTTCTGTTTGTGCCTTTCTATCACTACTGTGGAACTCTCTAGAAATAAAGCCAGGCCAATTTTTATTCCAAACCATGAGAACCTGTTTGCAGAGATAAGCAATTCAACCATGTCTTGATATACTAGATATTTATCCCATTGCTAATCTGGTTCTGTTCAGAGGTAACTACAAACAATTCCTGTAAAAATAGCCCCTGCAATGGAAACAGTTCTGTACATGAGAGAAAAACTAATCCACTGTCCTGCTCACCTAAATGCAAGACAATGTACTAGTAGGACTGTTATGGAGCAGAGAAATCTCCAACTATTGTGATTACCTGTGCAGTCAGGACTACTGACAAAAAATATGAAGCATTAATACACAAAAAGGTAAGTCTACAAGAGGAAAGTCTACAAGATTGAAGCTGAGCCTTAAGTTCAGTCTCACCTGTTTTCTTTTTCTTCTAAATCACTTGTACTGCTTAGTCTTCTGGGTGCTATTGTGGCAAGATAGCTCTTGTTGTCTTTATCCTGATGAAGCAAAAGTAATTCAACTGTAAATTTGTTAAATTTACAGCACATACAGTGACAACTAAATTCACATCCAAATTTCTTCGACTACAAAAGCACCCTCTTGTCTAGGGACAACTGCTTTAAGGCATTTTCCTGGGCAAGGCCCATGTCAGCATAAAAGTATCAGTTTTGAACAAGATTTGCAGAACAGCATGTTAGTGAATAAAACCAGCTTCTAATTAAATAATAAAAGCAGCTTCTAACTAAAGTACTGGGCAGCTAATTAAAGATGGGCAGCTTGGTTACAGCTAGTGAATACATGGAATGGGACTCACAAACACAACTAACAGGTATAGGAGGAATCCTTTTAAATTACGGTGAATGGGAATTTCTAGAGCAGATACGTTCTATTGTTCAGATTAGATATTTTCTGGTAAAGAATGGGCCATGCCAGCCTGGCAGCCCACTTCAAATTGAGCAGGAAGTAGGTCAAAAGGGCACTGAACCCCAGTTATGCAAGGACAACTGTGATGGGATAAACTCTGCTCAACTGGGATACATGAAAACATCTTTGCTGAAGATGAGCCAAACCTTTTCTTTGTTGTCTAATAATGCAGATATCCGAGGACTTGATGAAGAACGATAGAGAGAAGTCTTATCTCTCTGAGCCTCACGTGTAGCAGCAACTTCACTCAGCATGTTGTGGCTGCCAGTCTTCCGTAGACCCAGCCGCCACGATGAAGGTGACTCGTCCTTCTGCTCATCGGACTTGTTGAGCCAACTGAACTGCAGAGGAGAAAAAGGGACATTTGGAAAAAGAGAACTGCAATGCACAATTTGAGATCTGAAAGTGTTTCAACAAACCACACTTCTTGCTGGGCTACACTTGAAAATGTAAGATGGAGTCACTTTGATTTCCTGCTTAGCTTTCAGTACACGACGTAGCTCAAGATGAACTCACAGGGTTGCAAACTGCTGTAGTGCCCTCCTCCCCAAGGACAGACGATGAAAGAAATCTCATGTCATTGTGCAGCTCTCCTTGCCTAACACAACTCCCTCTGCCAGCTTTGTAGAAAGAATATAAGGAACAATGAAGCTTTTATTAGAACTCATTTACTAAATAATTCTTCCTTCCTAAAGGCAGAAAACCCCAAAAGTAATCAAGTCTTTTGGGACTAGGTACAAATAAACCCCCTACACAGATCAAACTGGTGAGAGCCCAGCAGAGACCATTAAGATAACCAGGGAGCTGGCACACGTAGCACAAAGGGAGAGGCTGAGGAAACCAGGCTCATTTAGCATGCAAAGGAGATGGCTAAGAAAGGGTTTAATTGCTCTGCTACTTGGGGCAGGGAGGAGAGGGTTACAGAGGATACAGAACCAGACTTCAAAAAAGCCTCCAGTGAAAAGAAGAGGAACAGACAAGTTCCAAAAAGGGAAACCTCCCTTCAGCGTGGAGGAAGACATAACCTCCCCACAGCAGTGATGCTGTACTGGGACAGGGAGCCAGAGAGGGAGGCATTTTCCAGCCTCACAGAGTTTCCAGCACTCAGCTCAACTCCTGTAGAGCAAAGCAACCTGATAGAGGCTTGAAGCTGCCTGTGCTTGGAGCAAGACGTTGGACTACTGGCTTGCAGAAGCCCCTTTAACTGAAATCTGTCTGTGTTCAGGTAAGCACACATTCCAGACAGCCAGAACAGACCTTTGTGCATTTTGTTCCATGAGGCACTCATTGTTTAAATGCACGACGTTAGCTATAGTCATTAAGCCTTAAAAAAAGATGCCTACTGCCACGCAGGAATGGAGCCTGGGACCACCACAGGTCCTTCTGCAAAGACAAGCATGAACTTGTGTAGAAAAATAAATAAACGAGGAGTTATTGGAAAGGAATAGGATACAAAACAACACCACCATACCTGTGCTTTTGTACAATCACATCTTTGATAGCATGCACAGCGCTGGACTCCACAGCTCAGAAGCAGTATAGAAGAAAGGGGGAGATTCAGAGAATCATAGAAAGGCTTGGGTTGGAAGGGACCTTAAAGATCATCTAACTCCAACCCCTGCCATGGGAAAGGCAACAAGAAGGAGTAGAGTGAGAGCACTTCTGTATGAGAAGTGATTCAGTATATGAGAAATGATTCAGTACATGAGGAGTCTTCAGGCTGAGATGTGACCAACAAAATCCTAAGTGGCACACAGAAGGGCGAAAAGGGATCAATTATTCATTGTTCCTTCCCACACAGGAACGAGGGGCAGCAATCAAAACGGACATGTGGCAGGCTTAAAAAAAACAGGTGCAGGAAGCTCTGTGTAATACACAGTCAATCCCTTGCCACTCGATGTTATAGGATCCCAAATGTTATGGGCACGCAAATAGTGACTGGACAAATTCACAGAGGAAAAGTACAACAAAGGGGACCCAATACAAATAATACTGCAGGCTCAGCAATCCCTGAAATGCAAACTGCTGGAAGTGGGAAAGAAGTCCAGCTAAATTCTCCCATCTCCTCTGGTATCTTGACGGTCAGTGTCAGGAATAGATACTGGTGCAGACAGCCTTTTGGTCAAAGCTGACATAAACATTACTGTACTATGTTCTGTGCATCATAAAACATCTGACATAATCCTGAATAACTCTACTTGGGACTTCTGGCCCTCAAAGTCATTTACCAAGACTGCAAAGACAGTACTATCGCTGCAGTATTTTAGCAGTGTCTTTTTCTTGGCTACTGCAGCACTTCCCAGCACCCTTAACACTACCTTTAATATTTCCCCTCCTAAGTAAGCCTGGGTTGAACAACGCACAGGTGAGCAATATTTTATTTAATTTGGACAAGAAATTAGACTTAATAGCATGAAAGAAGTAAAAATTAATAAATAAATAAATGAGACTAAGCAAGAAACATTTTCCTTCTGTCATGCATCTGGTACTTCCATCTTTCCACAGTGCCTGCACTGTAGCTGTCCTCCATATTCTGGTGCAACAAAACAAACCAGAAGCATAAAATACCCGTCCTCAACCAAACACAGAGCCTCCTAGTGCCACCTAGCTGAGTGACATGAGAGCTGGAGAATTCAGATAAGATGTCAGGAACTCTCCTTCACCTTTATAAAGCTTTCATTGCCTCGCTATCTAGTCAGATGCAAACTTTATCTTCTCTGCTTACTGGGCTGTAACATCATGCCACTGAACAAACTGAGTTTGGCAAGTTAGAGACACTTTAGATGATGATGCCAAATTCACTGCTGATATATCAGCAGGAACCAGCCTTTGGTGAAAGATCTCCTGCTGGTAAGAGATTGGCATCAGCTATCTCGGAACTGACAGCAACACAAAGCACTTGTGGTAAGCAAGGTTTCTCTTGTGGACACAGCAATTTGTTCTAGAGGGTAAGAGGCTGGGAGAGGCATTGTATCATACAAACACCCTTCTTTGCACTAGTCCCATACTGCTGTTAACACAGCATCCGTATCAGAACTGCATACGACTGTGCTTTCCTAAGTTCAATTCTCCCTGCTCCTCTGAAAGTCAGCTTCAGAGCGTCTATTTCCCAGCAAAGCCGACTGCTTTCAAGCACTCTTCAAATCCCCATCGATTCCAAATTCACTTACTCTTCTGGCAGATGCAGTGAAGGAGTTGGGCTCTGGTGGTGGTATTTGCTCAGTGATGCTAGGCCTGGTTTCATGGCTGGAGTGGTTGGCAAAGGACTCTTCCTTCCTCTCTATAATTTTAAACAAGAAGAGAAACCAAATGTTTCAGTATTGCACTTTCCAAGGCCCTTCTTTACAAGCACATTGTGCACTCAACTCAAGTTCGGAGTTGCTGTGACTTCAGTGTGCCTTAGATCATAAAGATGATGTCAGTGCAAAGCCAAACAAGCCTTTCTGCAAGGAAATAAATAATATTCCTCACTAAATAATACTTCCACAGTCACCAGATGGATATATTTGCCAAGCAAACCTTTTGAACTTCACCCCCCAGATAAGAAAATCATTGCAGGGAGCACCTTAAGGACGATAGACAGACTTTATCCACAATTTTGTTCCCTCTTGGGGACTTTTCTTCTTCCCTTGTGAAACTCAGAAAGAAAAGCAGCACGTGCCATTGCTACTGCAGTACGTGAATGGTTTGGGTTGGGAGGGACCTTAATGATCATCTAGTTCTAATGCCCCTGCCGTGGGCAGGGACACCTCCCACCACATCAGGTTGCCCAAAGGCCCACCCAGCCTGGCCTTGAGCACTTCCAGGGATGTGGCACCCACAAATCTCCTATTCCATATAAAAAGCAGTTTGGTACAGAGGATCTGTGAGGCTGGCACCTTGGAGCTCGGCGATCAGTTTCTGAAACAAATGTTCTTACCCTTAGAACAGAGGACTCAAGGGACATGGAAAAGAGCAAGCTAAGAGAAACATTAAAAGTAGCAGGCAGGCAGCAGGACTGATAGTTCCAGGATTAAGGATGCCCTAAGAAGGATGCTGCTCCCCTTGGAAGGTCTCATGAACTGCCATCAGCATCCTCTATACCGAACATTTCATCTCTCCAGCCTAACACCCTAAGGAGCAGAAGGTTTCTCAGTTCTCCTTGCAGACCTTGGCCATGAAGCTGAATACAGAGTGAGACAAACAAATAAATAAATAAATAAAATACTGCATCCTTGCCATTTGTTGATTTCCTAAGAGCAAAGCCTGTAAAATACATGAGAATCCCCAGCTCTGCAGGAAGGGGAGGACAGAGCTGGCAGCCAGCAGGCTTTACAGGCTGGGCTGGATGCTGACTGTAACCCTGCTCTGGAAGCTTGGAGTGCAGAGGGCAGCTTTTAGGGTCAAACCTAATTGCAAGGGCACAAGCCTAAGGGATAATGACAGGTTGGAAGGAACTAACTGTGAGCAACGTGACTGAAAGGAGTCAACTGCAGGAGAAGGATGGGCAGAAGTTCCCTGCACACCACAGTGAGGGACTGGATGAGCACAGCATCGTTGTTCAGCGATTCCCTTCCAAAATGTGTCAGGGAACTCCAGTCTTCCCTGGTTTGCTTCAGTTCACAGTAATTACCTGCTGTAATAGGTACTAGCCCAGACAAAGACCACAGAATTTCATACATTTCTTTGTTTATAAACATCCTAGTGCCGAATTGTTAACTGTCCTCAAGATGAGTAAAATGGTATTAATGCACTTAGCATCTTTTGTTTGAAGAATGTCGCTGATTTTAAGAAACGTGTTACTCTGAGGCACTCCAGCAATTTTACTGCTCAACTCTTCGTATTTCTTACCCTTCCATTGTCTTTGCAAACCCTACAAGTTTATTGAGACTGGATGTTCCCCCAGTCATACTGCGAGTTAAACTACTGCATTATACTGCCAGCTTTTACTTTGTCCTGTCTAGTGCTCATGCAGAAAAGGAGTTAGTCATTTTTTGGTTTAAAAAGCTCACTTTCAACAGTGTGATGCCTTTTGGTTTGTTTCTTTGTTTTGTTTGTTTTCTTAATCTGCACTTCGAACACTTTAGGTCAATAATCCTGCTAAGAATTACAAAGCTATATATGTAAACATTAAATCTAAGGAAAAAAAAAAAAGATATATTTAGAGGAACAGGGAAGTAATTTTCACATTTTCATAAATGTACGTCCTGAATTTCCCATTTAAACTTGCATAATTAAAATGTCTGGCAGGAAAAAAAAAGAAGTATAATTGCTCTTAAGATTGTGTTTGAAACTCTAGTAATACTGTGACATTTATAATTTTCTATGAAAAGCTATTTCTATCTCTACTTATCTTTGGTTTCTGCTCAATAACATATGGGTTGATGTAATCCCAGTCTTGTTTTAAAAAGTACCAAAAATGTGCACCCCCTTCACAAATACAACAGATGACAACTACATCCACATCCCCTTGCATGAGTTTATGTTCATTTTAATTACAGATTTGAGAAGTTTACAGTGTAATTTCAATTTTGATTGAAATTTCTCAAAGGAGCCAATAATCTCTCTTGGAAAGGACAGCACAGGTAACAAAGCCTGAAGCCTGATCTTTTAGCATTACTTTAATATTTTTTGGTTTTATTTTAGCCTTAGTAGATTGAAATAGATCAGCATAACATGCTTTGCTCAGTGAACTAACTCAATCAAAAGACCTGCTTTGGCTGTATATAAAATTGAATGGTGAGTGCTGTAGCACTTTCCATACTGAAGTACTCCATGCTGTTCTCACATCAACCGAACACCACGTAGCTCCACTTCTTGTAGCTATACATACTTCAGAGGTGTTTTGGTCAAGTTCCTACTATGTTTAAAAGAATTGGCACATTGCTTTAAAAGGTTGCTGCCTAGTGAAATGCTGATTTATGAAGCAAATAAATGTCTCCTCTAATAAACACCTTTTTCTACCACTGACTTCTCCACTACATTTGCTCGATTTACAAGCCAAGATATTATTTCACCATGTTACCTTCATACCCAAACAGCTTTTGTAGCTACCAGCTTTGCAAAGATCACCCTGGATTCTCAACACCTCTCATACTGCGATAATAATTTTAATTCATAAGACTGGAACACAGGTGACAATTTTACTGATACAAGAATCAGGACAAAACTTTAAATTACACCTCTCTACAAGGACTTATTTATAACTGGGATATAGGCCAAGTAAGCTGATGTTAAAAGTAGTTTAACCATTAAGCACATCGTATCTGAAGATCCATCTCTCTCTCTGTGGAAAAATTAAACACAAGCAAGTCTTGGCTTATCATGAAATTAAGTATCTTTATTTAAATTATCTATGCTGCACATATATGTTATTTAAACTCATTAAGGAAGCCTGAAAAACTATGGAAAAAGAACAAGATTGAAAAGCAGCAAGATGCCAGCAATATGCTATAATGTAAAGGCTAATGTCACCTGATGTACTTAATTCCTATTTTCCACTATGTTCTGCAATTATGATACATCACCGCCAGAAAAAAAGTTCCTCATCTCTATAATTATATAGAACATCATCAGCCCTTCATTTCAGCTCTCTGATCCAAAATACAACAGGCTATTAACTTCCTACATGTTCAACTGCTTTTCTACCATCTTGCAGCAGCTGAAATGTTCATCTGAAAATGGCCAATGAGCAAAAAAACACTATTTAAAAACAACCTATGAACAATGTGTTATCCTAAGCTCAAGTGAGCTGGAAGTAGAAATTAAAATATTATCCACAGCATTTTTTTCTGAAAAAAAAATATGCTGATGTGAAGGTTAGCATTTAGATAAGCTTGTTTAGTACGCTAGCTACAGAGTGCTCCATATGCTACATGTATACACTTCAAGTAAGACTTTCAGGATGTCTTAACAACTAAGCAAAAAAAAAAAAAAGCAGTTCTCAACCCAAACTTCTATTATTGCTCGGCTAATTATTATATCCAAAACTATACTATATCTTACCTGACTCCTTTTCAGCATCTGATTCTGAAACTTCATCTTCTTCAGCTTCTTCCTCTTCTTCAGAGCTAGAACTGCTAGAGTCCTTATTCTCTTCCTCCATCTCCATGGACTTCAGCATATCTTCCTCATAGAGAATCTTCTCTTTGCTGCAAGAAATGGAAATTTTAAGGATTACCAGGCGAGTTATTTTTGTGTTCTATTTCTCAGGAACACTTAGACAAGTTTTGCTACATACAGAACATGCAAAAGGACAAAAATCAGTCCACAGACTGCATCCCAGCACTTCCAGCACTGCCAATTTTCTATGGATTCCAATGCCAGTCTCGCATTTCCTAAGTTTGCAAGCATTTCTCAGTCCAAAGAAAAGCTGCCTCCTCTCTTTTCCTAGCATTACACAATCCATCACCAGGGCTGCATGGCTCTGCAACTTCAAAGCTGTAGTTTTCAGCCCTAGGGTTAAAATGATAATCAGCAAGAGCAGAAGCTGGGGGACCAAACACCAAGCCAACTCTTCGTTCTATGGGTATGGGTATGCTAAGAAACACGTAAAATTATATTTAAAAGAACTTAAATTTAAAAGGAACCATGAAATGAGCATGAACAGCAGTTGACTTTTTTTAAAGCAGTTGAGGCCAGCTGACTGCGTACAGATGTAGCTGGCCTCCCGTTACATGCTGTACAGCTTCTTTTCAAAGGGGAAGGAAACGTACTTCGTGAAGAGTCCGCTTTGAGGTTTGCCATTCATGTCAGCTTCAATTAGCTTATTCCTCGTCTCCTTCTCACTTCGTAGCTGTCAAGAAGTCCAAGAAGATTGCGGAAAGAACAAAGAGAGACATCTTAACAAGCCACCTCATCACAATTCCAATAATTACCCCAGCATACGACCATCCCAACCTTGTTAGATGGAAAACATTGTGAATTTGTTTAAGAAGCCAGTTCAACAGACCCACATCTGCAAGATTCCAAGTCTTGGACTAGAGCTCCAGAAGCATGTAGCAGGACACTGAGCACCACCTTAGGCTCCAGCAGCAAAGAACTTAACAGAAGTTTGGGGCAGGATCTGCTGGGACCCAGAGTCAAATTGTGACTTTCACAGTACTGCCCTGCCTCTGCCCACACAGATACACAGAGCTCTGTCCATACGTGGTTATGGGCACATGAAACCAGTTTAAAATTTGCTGCCTGTTTACTTATTATTTACTTGGTCTCAGAGGAAAGTATTCAAGTGCGCCCTGTCCCGGCTGGATCTTCCACAAGGGTGGGTCACTTCTTAAATCCCTCAAGTGCCAGCATAATGCATCGAACAAGAATATCCGCAATCACTGCAGCAGCTGAACTATTTTGTCCAGTTAGCAGCGTGAATTTTGTCACCACTGACGGACAAGCCAGTAACCAAAAAGTCTAAAAAGCACAGTGACAGCTGAGGTAAAAAAAAGGGACTGCAATTAGAGGCTCACTTTTAAGCCTGTCTCCTTTCTATCATGTCTAGCACGGTTTTCTTCCTCGTCTGATAGAAGGAGCTGACACTGGGACAAGAAGCAAAAGCTCTGCAAATTCTGAACGTAGGAAAAGCCACACAGAGACCAGCCCAATGCCAAAATTTGGGGTACAGCATACTGATAAACTGAACAAACTTTTGAAGTGGATCAAAGGTAAGTATGGGAAACAGCCTGCTCCATTCACAGGGAATTCAGAGACTGGAAAAACAAATCCAAACAAATCAAACGATTTGCTTCCAGCAAACAGAACTCCCTTTCTCTCCTGCAACAGCAGCAAATCTTTTAGCAGGGATAGAACATTGTTCCTCTCTGTATTCTGTACTTAAGCTTTAGATTAAAAAACTCTGATTTAAGAGCCATTTTGAAAGTGAAAAAATGCACTTAGAGAAGTGTTTTGGAACTGCCTATTTTATCCTTAACAAATTAAGTTTTCTATTTTAAGTAATTTCGAAGTGGTGCACGATAAACACACACAATGAAATGGATCTTCGATTAAAAAAAAAGCACATCCACTGGAAAAAAAAAAAAAAGATTCTTCTCTTCTTTCCAGTTCTATTATTTCTTGCTACACTCATTTAATAAATTAAAAGGAAAAGGCCTTTAAATAGCACAACTAATATAGGGAACAAGGGGGGTTGCTAATCCCTCCAAAGCAAGCCTAAAAATGGGCTAGCACCCATCCAAAAAATTCCTTTGGTTGTTTTTATTTTTATTTTCTTCTGAACACTACATTTATCTGCACAATCCTGGTGTAGTTAGATACGAGGAAACCCGCAGTACAATGCTGGTAGTATTTATCAACACCTCATTTAGGGAGAAGCTGATTAATTTTTAAAAAGTTTCTGTGAATGTTAAGGGTGCTATTTAAAGATGACAGCAGCTGTGTTATGATCAGAGTTCGAGTTCTACCACCCACATTGTCAGTTCCTCAAAATACTTTACTGGGTTTTATCAGCAATGTTCTCATTATGTCTGTTTCTGAATCCAACATTTTAAATGATACCTTCAGAATTTTATTTATTTATTTTTAAAAGAAGGTTGGTTTATTTTTTGAAAGCACCAAGGAAATATAGTTGTGTAGACCAGATGAAATAGGGAAAAATGTAATCCCAAACCAACTTTTTGGCTTGATGACTGGCTTTACTTAGATCAAGATATATTTTTGCCTTTTTTTTTTTAAATAGCAACTTTCTACTTGTAACTCTCTCCAGTATCTTCACTGCATTATGAAACAGCACTTTAATATGGTTTTCAAATCACTGATTTTTTTCTAGTCTGGAACTCCCTGAAGGTTATAATTTCTTCTCACTCAATCAAAAGTCTCCCTATTGTAAGATAGGCAGATGTGATAACAAATATCTTTCTTACCAGTGACAGCATACTTCCTTAAATACGGACCCAAAGTTGACTTGGGTAGTCACTCATTAAGTAAAGAGCAATTTGGTGTCAGAGAGCTAAAAGTAACTACAGAAGAGCAATTCCAAAGATGAACTGCAATTCCTTATCAGTTTACAGAGTCTGCACGTCAGCATGCTTCTGACCTTCTTGATACAATCTCCCAGTTTTCTAGATTTCTAGCTACTGAAAATATTGGTGCAATTAAAGATTCTGAATGACTAACAAAAATCGCTGGACCTCAGCTTCATGCATGTGTTGACACCATATTCTTTAGGGAACACCTGTGCACAGAAACGTAATTGGAGAGGTGGAAAATGATCAGCCAAAATCTCACCACAGTTTGCTTCTTCTGCAGCATTTCTAAATGCTCTACCAGTCCCTCGTCAGCCACGTCGAACGGTGTCTGGCCCTGGAACAGTACAAGAACACAAGAAGCTAGCCAACACAGCATGCCATGAGTGTTCCAGAAAGCACTATTTACAAGTGAAGAACAAAACCGAATGCACACTACACCCCCCAGATGCTGAGCAACGCACCCTGCTGCACTCTACAGCAGAGAATGCCAAGTGGCAGTGATGGTGGTTTCAAGACGCCATCCACAATCAGAGGAGGAGCAGTTCCCTCATTGCTGCTGATCAAATCTAAGCCAAGACGAATACATTAAAGTTTCCAGGCTTGTAAAAAGCACACTCTTGGACTTAGAAGGATTGTAATAAACTTTTTCTACTATATCATTACGTGTATGAACCTCCTGAAAGGCTGACAATCATCAGCAGACCAAAGGATCTGGGAGCTCTTCCCACATCCAGGGGCATTCACAAATAAAGTAAATCAGAAAAAATACTTTGGGGCATAAATTGAGAAATCAGCTACATTTATACCATAACTAATGCTATAACCACCAATATAATTAACAACACATAATGAAACCTGACGGCCAGTGACCAAATAAATACAGATCGTCTCGGCCATCTGACTATTGAGGTAATAGTTCTTGACAGGAAAGAGCAGGCGTTTGAATGCAGCAAATATAATTGCATCTGTTTCTTCTCAAGTCTATTAAAATAGTAAACCCACATGCCTTCTGAACACTTTGGAGAAGCTTCTGATGGCATTTAGAACAAAAAAAGATTCTCAGTATTTTGAATGCCAGAGAGCTCACCGTGGTAAAATGTGTCCTTCTCCTGGAGCTATTTCTTTTGCATCAGCTTGCAGCACAGATAGATGTGCTCAAACCACATTGTGCTACAATTCTCCTACCAAGTTCTCATCTGCTTTCATTCCCTGATGCTGTTCCAAGTAAACACAACCTCATTTCCTACTACAGAAGCAGTCATGGCACAACTGAATCCGCTCCAGCAGGAAGCGGCTCACAGACACTGCCTGGACATCACAGCAGGGAAGGGAAAACAAAGAACAACCCTGGAAAAGCACACTGCAGCTCTTGAAAACCAAAAGGCTCTTCAAGGAAACTTCTAGCAATTAGAAGTATTTTGTTTTGTTTTGTTTTTTCTTTTTTTCCTTCTCACAAATATCCTATCTTTCTTTACTCATTTCTCACAAGTGAATTTTTCGATTTCTCTTTTTATGACCAAGACTGTAGAACAGGAAGGATTTTAAACTGGCAGTTTCTCAAGGGTTCGTGAGTTTTCAATGCTTTGTACCTTAATTTTAGTGTATTATTGTGCACTCCAAGACTTTTGTTGTTGTTTAATTTGTCAGGATTACACTAAAATAGGAAAACACAGATTAGCTCCTATCCTCTCACATGTTCTTGGTCCTAAAGTTTCATCACTAATCTTTCCTGGTAGAGCTTGAAATCATTTCTTCCTTCCTTCAGTCAAGAGTTTTTATCTTCTGATGCTTTAGTACACGTGCAGGACAATTGCTCACCGTACAACTTTGTCACGTTGTTGGATCAAGTTGATAAGCAATTATGGCAAAAAGGTGATATGCATCTTGGTATAAAACACACTGCACACTGTGCCAACACCTGTGCTCACTAACCAGCTTGTTCCTGATGTCCATGTCACACAACGCCTCTGCCAGGATGGAGCAAGCTTCCTTCACTCCCCAGTGCGCAGCAGCGTGGAGCGGGGTCCAGCCGTCGTTGTCTTGGACGTTCAAATTAAAGCCAGCCTGGATCAAAAGCCTGAGAAAAGAAGCAGTATTGAGTCCTGCCCACCCAGGAAGGATTTCTGCCCACAGAGAGGTCACGCCATAAGTCACAGAGTAGGGAACGTGGTTTAAAATATGCCAGCAGCTTTTTGTTGTTATTCATCTCAGCAACATCCCGGTTGATGTGCTCACACACGTAACAGAAGTGTGCAGTACAATGAAAGAAGTGACTTTGGCACTGCAAACACCTGCTGCAATGAGTCTAATTGATAAGATTGCCTTTGAGCACGTCCTAAATTGGAGAACATTTTAATTTCTAATCTGGCATTGGTGACCCAGTCTGAACTGCTGCAACAGACAAGAGACACCAGACTCACACAGGCACCAAACAAACCAGCAACATCTCTCCGGAGTGTAAGCCCTGTGACAAGGGACTGGCACAGCACCTGGCATGGACAGGACATTTGGTATCTCATGTTCAGTGCTGCTTCTACTGGTGAACAAGGACACGCTGTAGGAATGGTCTGTAAGAAGTCAACACTGGCAGGGCTGCCAGGTAAGAAGCAGAGACATTACTGACTGATCGCCAGCTGTGAGATTTGTCAGTTAAATTATCTACAACTCCAGCATTTTTGCAGCCTAGACCTTGCACAGCCAAAGCTTAAAACCTGCCAGGGAGCAGCCTTGCATCCCTGTCACTGCTGTGCACCTTCCACCTGCCTCCCTCCTCCATCAGAGCAAAGTGCTAGGGTTGCAGAGCATCTGGGGCTTGAATATTTAAAAACAAAACAAAAGAGAGACAACTGTGGTCTGAAACTTCAGAGGCATATGCACAGTAGTACACAAGTGATCAGGTGAAAGTACCGAGCCACTCATGTATCAAAACCATTATCCAGCTGCTTAAATATTAAAGAACATCCCAGGGGAATTCTGCAAGTTCAGTAAAACTGCTACTGCAAGTTTCCATGGTGGGTTTCCACCATTCACTGCCACCTTCCTCCAGCTCAGGGGAAGTCTAGCATGACCCCAGAATGACACGAGCAGTCTTGAAACTCCTGCACCTTTCTCTGTGAAGAAGATTCTCTTTCACAGAGAAAGAAATCTGAAATCAGGTTCTGACTTTATGTTGATTCTCCAGCTGGCAAAAGGGAGGAACGTAGTTGTTAAGAGACTGAAGGTCACAGACAAATTCTGTCTCGTTTGAGAGTTAGTGAGCTTCTAGCTTTCAACGCCTTTGGTTTAAGTCACTGAAGCTTTATATTTGAACTCACAGAGTGGCCATAAAATCCGTGAGAGTGAAATAACGTCAGCTCTCTGTGAGATCTGTTTATCATTACAACATTTAATGCAAAGGAGTAGCTGATCAGAACTAGACACCTTGCAAACAGCAAATGCAGCTTCTGTTGATGACTACTGGCTACACAGCCCTCCCCTGAAAACCCCCAGGATCGACATCCCATATTGTTCGGGAGATATTAGATTTCTATTCCACATGATCTGTGATGAATTACTGGTCTTGGGCACAGCAGAGGCACAGACAGCTCATAACTCAATTATAAGCTCTAATGAATGAATACAAAGAGGAAACATGAAGAATAACAAAGTTACTAGAGCTTGCTAAGAAGCAGCTCTTACACATCAACTCATGGCACTTAAAGTTATGAAATAAGGAATCAGGCTGGATGAATGTTTCCAGAAAGGATTTTAACCTGGGAAATGGAGTAACCTTGCAGATAGATCTTTATGGGTAGCTCCACCCAAACATTAATAATGGTGAAAAAAACCTTTCTTGTCGGAATCCCTGATTTGACCTCACCTGTAAAAATATTGATGCTTCATTGCCAGGAAGTGCCACACTGGGCACGTTTATGTTCATAATAAGCTCGTTAGTGCTGTAGCAGCGGAAACAGAACTGTTAAGTGGTGGGATCTCTCTGTCACTGCTGATGGCTGCAAGAGCAGTAGCGTTAAGTGGCAGGGGACAGGAAGGTAGAGGAGGACACTGCATTTTCCTACTAGACTGACAAGCCGGACACAAACTGCTGGGGTGTTTGTGATGGCCATGCAGCATGTATTGTCACCTTGTAGGCTGAAGTTACACTTTCATCCCCTGACAGGGTTAATTTCCTAGCCCTACAACTATTACTCTCATAGTGAAAGTTGACCTTCTAATTTATGTTTCAGTCTCAGAAAAGCTATAACCTCCCTAAAGGCCTAGAGGTAGAGAAGAGAACCTTCCAACCTCTACACATTTCCAGGTGAACCACCACAGCTGGGCACATAATTCTACAAAGCCTTTCGAGAAAGCATAAAGATCTAGGTATGAAACACATTTCTCTCAACCAGAAAGCTGGATGTGTTCCTTATGGAAACCAGACTCAACTCAACGTACCAGCCATGGATGGAGTTCCTACCTCATCACTTCAGAATAGCCCTTAGCTGCAGCCACGTGAAGAGCTGTGGCACCTGTCCGGGGCTGCTTTATGTCTTCGATTCTCCCACTGTTCAGCCACTGTCGGGCATCCTGTAGCATTTGCTGCTCCTCTTCTTTTCTTGCCAGGTCTAGGTCTACACCTAAGACAGCAAAGTACAGAAGAGATTATCAAGTGAAAGCTCTCGTGCACTTATTGAACTTACCGTATGTTTTATTTGCTATACAGTGTTAGCAACCTCTTTTCCATCTTCCACAAAAATCAGCAATAGCTTTTTCTAGGAGTTGGGAGAACTCCTGCATCACTCTGTGGAGAGACCAGGTGCTTCTGGCTGAGGGGCAGCTTCAATCAAACCTACAAGAGGCAAAACTATCTTGGGCTTGTTTTAGAGAGAGGATTTTTTCACGTTAATGCACTACTGTAAGGATGATGGATCAGTCACAAGCATGGTACAGCCCCATACAAGATTAACCAGGCTAGGGCTGTTGGACTTGGGAAATAATATGAAGTAGATGCCAAATTTCAAAAACAATCAAGAATGGTGTTGAAAAGCAACTGTCCCTATGGATTAATTCTTTCAATATAACAACAACATGATTACCAAGGAAGCTGTAGGGCACTAGACTTAAAAAAAAAAAATTAAAAAAAATACTATTTATTAACTCAGATTCTGAATTGGAAGTACTGCAGGATGTTGCAACGACTCAAACAAGAATTATAAATTTGTAGACGGGTAGCAGCACATCTGTAGTTATTAAATATAATGCTATACATGCTTGGAGTTCCCAGGAAAGGCTGCACAGTCCACAAAATAGAGATCCACGGGGGATTTGCAAATGTACAGAAAGCCCATCTGGCTCAGGAATTCCTTGAGGCACGGTGACTGGAGGCTGGGAAAATGCTTGGGAGGGGAACCATACAAGCTTGTCCTGTTCTTGTACTTTGCCCTAGGCATCTGCTTTCAGCTACTGCTGAAGAAAGCTGGATGGACGCTTGTCTGAAGCTTATAACGCATTTATTCCAGCAATTATGATCCTTTTAAACTGTGTCAATGGGAAACTTCTCAGTGGAGACAGATGGTTGTTTCAGGGCATCTTAGCAGGATGCCGCTAATGTGGTGAAGCAATGAAAAAGCCAAACAGAATCCTAAGAAGTGTCAGGCAAAATATCTGCAGCAGAGGCAGAATTACTGCCTTAATGCCCTGTAAGGTTTCAACTACGTTATTGCAGTTCTCATCACCCACTTTACAGAGAGGCAGGTTACAATGATGTAAAGACAGGATCTCTGTCTTCCTGGTCACCCAAGGAAGCCTGGCTGCAGAGAGGAGACGGGCACGGTTTGACCAGCCCTGTAACACAAAGGCTGACAAGACAATTCTTTTCAAGCACCTGCACAGAGTAAGCACGAGAGAAGAGCTATGTAAGTCAAAGTGGATGGGAAAAGGGAACATAATCAGGATAATTTTGTCATAAATACCACAAGACTAGAAAGTGAAAGTTTCTCTTTACCAGAAAAAAGCATGATTCTGTGTGAATTTTCCAACAGGAGCAGTCGCACAAATAACAACCAGCTCACATATGGACAATTACCGATTCCACAGTGGAACAGCAACATGATCAACAGAGGTAGCAAAGGAGTGGTGTCTTCCTAATTATACCTGGAGATAGCTTAAAGAAAACAAAAACCACTCCAACTCCGCAAAAATCCTCTAGGTGCCAAGCAGAACACATCGATTAGAGAAGACTGGATTCCATCTAGCATGCAAACAACCCCAACCCCTGGAGTCATGCAATCATCTAGATATAAAGGAATCTTGGTGGGTCTCCAGCCTAAATCCCTGCTCAGAGGAGGCAGACCTTCAAAGCCAGATTGAGTTGCCCAGAGCTGTACGCATCCAAGCTTTGAATACCTCCAGTGATGCAGATTCCATTCGTATCAAACAAATCAACTTTCGGTATTGTGATGTCTTGCTGCTAACAATTCTGCTAACAGGGACAGAGACTGCACAACACAAACCTTCTGCTTCCATTCTAACATTCTGCTACTGAAGCAAAGTTTCGCTGCTGCCACTCAGTCCAGATTTCGTGTCTCTCCATCTATAGCCATGCAGAAAGCCTTCAGGATTTCTTTACAAAACGTCTTTCTTTGGGGTTCTAACTCACATATTCAACCCCACCACTGCTTTACCTTGTTTCTTTACTTGTTCCAGAAGCAGGTCCTTCATGGCTGCTTCCTCTGCGATGTCAGATGGGACTTCACCTTCACTGTTCACAGCAGCCACATTAGCTCCATGACTAATTAAATACCTACAAAATGAGACCCATACCAATGTATTAGAACTCATGTGCAGGCTTCAGAGCAACTTATACAGTAAAGCAAGTGGCAGAACAAGGTATTTGGCCTTCTCACTCAAGTTCAAATGAGTGTTCCATATTCTTATCAAATTTAAACTCCAGAAAAGTTCATTGTTAAATGCAAGGGCCCTGGTCAGTGGCTCATGCAAATAGTTTTTCTTTCTCTGTGGTTATTTAAATGACCTCAGTTCTTGCACTCATCTGATAAGATTATGCTTTTTAAAAAAAGATGAGAACAAAAGATAATCTGAGCTATCATCTATTTTTTAATTTGTGTTATTTAAAAATATACTAAAAGTTCATTCAGGAACAATTAATGCCTTCTTCAGCTTATACATCTTGTAACCAACAAAATTCTCGGAAGAAAAAAGTGTTTTAAATGCCAGTGAAGTAAGAAAAGGTGAAGGTATTTTTGAAAATAAATTTTAAAACCAACCACCGTCTTTGATAAATACTTATCAGTATTCCTACCGCAGTAACTTTCTGGTAGCTGTGGTGGACTAAATATATAAGTATGGTATGACTGGGAAAGAATCATAATGTGTTTGAATAAAGCAACTAGTATTGGAAGAGGGGCACGAAACAAACCAACAAACTGATACCGAATCAGTAGCAAGACAATACACAGAAGTAACTGAGTCACAGATTTATTTTTTTTTTTGGTTAGAATACATTGTGGAGGATCATCTTGTGAAATACTATTTTTCCCTTATTCTTCTAGCCTATGATGCAGCCTTTTATCACAGAAAGAGTGATCTGAATCAGGAAATTACTCCTTATGTTTGCTGGTTCTTTGGTTCCAATTATTCCAGCACTCCAGGTCTTACATCTGGGCAATTCTCAAACTCTCAGGGCAACTTAGTCTGGTATCAGTACCTTCTCTGGGACAAACAGACTATTTAGTGCTTTGTGAGCATAATGAGTGTTCAGATCAGTTACAGAATGTTATTTCAAGCCCTGGAATCAGTAAGTGTGCCAAAAGTCAAATCTTTATTGGGAGTCCCTTTCAGCAGGTTCCTGCCTTGCTTTAAACACCTACTGGAGAAAACTCTCAGTAATATTTACTGTCTCTTTTTTTCTGTGTATTTTATTAGTGTTTGTGCTCACTAGATTATCTGATCTAACCCCGTCACCCATTTATGTCCATACTGACCCCAGAATCTTGTGTTGTACTCAAAAATAGAAAAATGCTCTAATTTCAAGTGGGTTAATTAAGTTACTTTTATTTGTTTCTCTGTCTTTTGTAAGACAGTATGCTAAGTAACAGAAACATAAAAACTCAATATGAAGAAAAAGAGATGATGTTGTTGGCCTATCAGTGACTCTGGAGCCCAGGACATTGCACTTCTCTCTCTAAAGTCCCCACACAACCAGAATACTGCTCACAGGCTTATTTACATAAAAAGCAGCAGCAGAGCTCTGCTTCCTTACACTTCTCCACGGATTGGTGTGCCTGCCTCTCAGCCATCACGTTTCCCTTTTGCTGAAGTATCTAATGAATCATAAATCATTTTAACAGGATCAGCAAAAGACAACCAGGCTCCACCTTCATCAGAACAAACTGAGGATCTGCTAAAAGAAGGCATGCATCTTCTCCACTTGCACTGTTGCTTCCAAGATGTACGAGTTTCAGAGCATCGGTTGTCTGTGTAGCTGCTCCAAGGAGGAAGACGTGGAAAGTGTTATGAATACCCAGAACAGCCTGAAACTCACTCACTCTGCTATGTTCAGATAGCCACACGATGCCACTGCGTGAAGAGGGGTCCAGCCCTCGTTGTCTTGTTGGTTGACATTGGCTCCATTTTCTACCAGGAACTTCACCATGTCCAGGTTCTCATCTATACAGGCCTGAGGGAGAAAGGAGGGAGGGGAGCAAGGGGAGGGAAGAATTGGAGAGAAGGAAGAAAAATGATGGTGTTAAATTGGTGTTAAATCAAGTGAACAACTTCCCTTTGCAGTTTATTGTCAGGGGGCAATGCCTGGGCTGAATTTCCCACACTGTGCACTAGCATACTTCGAAACTTAAAGTAGCATGAAGCTGGGAACTAAACCAAATTAATTTCAGAAATTTCAAAAAAAAATTGAAACTCAAAGAGTCCCCAGGTGGACCATCTCTGAATTTGCCTAAGCTTTTGTTTCCCTCCTCTCCTCCATGCTTGCCTCCCTGGAGCGGGGCAAAAACATTGTAAAATGATAAATCTGTATTGGTTTTAGGTATGGCATCGGATTCCTTTAAGCAAGGCAAGCTGTATGCTTTCAGAGGTGATGCTGTTCCCCCCAATTATCAGCAAAAAAAAAATCAGGAAAATCACTGAAATACCACTAGCAGTAGGGATGAGCAGGGCAAACATAACCTGAAGATGACTGAGTAAAGCAGCCCCCCTGTAGATTGGGTGGTGCCGTTTACAGACGGAATTACAGCAAAAGCAGAATTTTGATAGAGGTGACTGCATACAAATCGGATGGGACACGACACGGCACACTTGGCCTGACTTCCTTATTCAGCAGCAGCTGTTTATTTTCCTGACTATAGCAAAGCACAACTTTCTCTGCTAGCCCTACAGACCCAGCAAGCTGTGGACGAGACCGCCAACCCTTTATTAGCTGCTCCATTACCTCCAGAGCCTGCACTTACAGAGACCTGCTAGCTTTGAAGTTGCCAGGAGAAAACCTAGCAAGATTTTCAAGTCTCAGCAGTTCTGTTAGGTGGAATTCCTCCTTCCTGAAATTCCTGGCTGCAGCACGTTCTGTGGCGCGTTCGCAGCTCACTGGAGGCTGCTATTTAAGGATGAGCTGGCAATTTAATACGTATGTCCCCGTGTGTGTGCCTCAGCTGAGAAGCACCAGGCATGACTGGGAGGCAATAGGACCGTCTGTGACCGTGTTCAGCTGCAGAGACCTCGCTCCTTGCTACGAGAAGGATGATCCTGGCCGAGCGGCCTCCAAAACCCCCAGCACTCGGTCCTTCACACCGCCTGGTGTGGGCAGATCCAGCACTGTTCTTCTAAAATGAGCACCACTCACTATTCTTCATTACTTGCTATGACAGGAGAGGAATTGTGTTGAAGCAAAGCCCCCAAAGAGACAATCCTGCATTACCTGACGTGCTCACCTGGGCTCCACTGCTTATACCAAGGCCCGAAGCTAGGATATCCCACTCGTTATCATATCACTCGTTTCCTTTTTTCAAGGAAAAGCTCAAACGAGGCTTCTATGCTACAAACACCAGCATCCCTCCGTTTCTCTGGTTCACAAGCAGCCACCCAAAAGGCTGGCTTTTCAACTTCTTTCCCCAAAGGCAGCTGCAGGAAAGGCAGTTGCAGTCCGGGCACTTGGCAAACGGCACCAGGCACATCTGCATCTGTGCTCAGGTGCCAGTGGGTTTCCCGGCCCTGTTTGACCTCGTGTTTTGCCACAAAGCCCTTACAACAAACCACAACGCCCTGGGGACCAAAGGGCTCTGAGCTCGGGGCAGTCCCAGGGCCCAGCACAGCCGTCAGGTCTCGGCAGTGCAGATGCAAAGCAGCTTTGACCACTGGCCTGGGGAGCAAGGTTTGCTCCTCAGCCCTCTTATTCAGATCACCTGCACAAAGCAGGGCTGAACCCAGCGTCAAACCAGGCTGCTCAGGGCCTGCCCCAGCCATTTTCGGGTGGCTGCAAGGATGGAGACCCCACAGTTGGTCTGGGCCCCAGCTCCAGTGCTTCGGCATCCTCTGGGTGAGGAATTTTTCTTACTCGTAAACTCGTAACATTCCCTTCTCAGTTCAAGAAGCAGTTTTTAAAAGAATCTGTGTCCGAGCCTGCAAAAATTCAGAGCTAAGATGCACTTCGCTGCCACCCACACTGAAGGTAATATAGCACAAGTTTCCCCAACACATCTCAAACAAATCATACTTAACCCTACTGACGAGTCCATTACATTTTAACGTGGGAACACAACCGTTCCGTACCCATTTTTAAATAAAACTACCATCATGTACCAGCGCGTTGCTCTGACAATAGCCAAGACGCGTTTGCCCACACAGAGGCTCCTTTTGAGGACCGTCACGTCTGGCCAGCTGCGGAATCACGGCCTCGCAGAAGAATTTTATCAGCGAGGCTCTGATAAAGCAGCGAGGCGGGCGCTGCGTGCCTGTGCATACTCACTGCAGAAGAAAGGCAGCACAGCAGCACTACCTGCAGCTTAAGTGCCGAGCTAAGTTCAGCTTTGAGAACCTCTTCATACCGTGAGCTTTATGTGCATTTGATAGCCGGAGTGCTGTATTTACACTGTTTATCGTTTAAACCACCCCAACAGCTGCCACCCACTACCTCTGCACACGCTGGGAGCAGGCCAGGAGAAGAGACCAGAACTTCCTCGAGCCACTGGATATGCTAGACTCAAAAAAAAAAAAAAAAGTTTAGATCCATAAAAGAGCCCCCCCCACACACACTTTTTTTTTTTTAATGCTTGTTATTAGCCTCATTATTCTGCTGGTCTCCATCCTGCATGTTTCCTAAGGAATGCGTGCTGGGAACAGAAGGGATAATGGGATAAAACCCCACCTGTTCCTACAAAGAAATCTGCAGTAATTTGATTCGCCCGGCCCCTGAAGAGATAAAACGATGACAAAGTGACATTGGGTCAAAAAAAGCTACATGGGTGCTGACGACAGCAGGCAGGGCCTCGCTTTCCCAAGGGAACCACCACAGATTTCGTGCTTGCTGTTTGCATTGGTGCTAGAAATTCTCTTCGTGGCAAAGGTGGATCGAGCCCTTAATGGAGCAAAAATGTATTCCGGAATATCTGAGCAAAATAACCTCACTCCACCCTTCTGCACCTATCGTGAAACACTGCTGTTGGCGCTGTGTGATCAAGCGGCGTGATACCGCTCGGCAAATATTTATTTTAGCATTAGTTAGCGCCACATACGGACAGGCCTGAGTGGAGCTGAGTAACGTGAAGGGTTGTATAAACGGCCCGGGGCTGAGCCAACGTTAGCAGGTACGATTCTGTCCTGCCACAAGCATCAAGGTATACGAATTGTGTGATATTACAAAAAACTGTACTGGCTGAGATTCCTTTTCTCCGCTGCATTTCTAGAAAAGAAATGTCAGAAGCTGGCATTCTGCGGGGGCACTGAGCAGTCCCCCATCAGTTCTCCAAATCCCATCACCATCTCCTGAAAGAAACTATCAGGCACAGCATTATTTGCAGCATTTCTTAGAACAGTTTTAATGAGGCTTAAAGCAATAATTATGAGGTTAACAAGTGGGATAATGAGTAAAACAAGGAATTTCTAAAGATCTCCTAAACTTCAAGAACTTCAAAAACCCTATCAAAGCTCGGACAGGCCGCAGGGCAGCTTGCAGGGGTGGCAATGTATTTCTACATGGGTTTTTAAGCTTCAGCTGAGTAACATTTACATGTTTACACAGAATTCACATTTGCACATATATTTGTGGTGTTAATTGCTCCACACACAAGATCACTTTACCGAGCTATAAACAACAGGAGCTCTCCCTGCTTAGAAGTTCTCAGGGCACACATTTGGCCACCTAAAATTTGGAGAGCCTTGACTGCTGACACCCTATCCTATCCTATCCTCCTCCGTAAGTATCTGTTGTATGTTTTATTGAGCTTACCTGCTAAAATTAAGCTCCGTAAAACACCCTATAAGAAAAGAAAAAGTTTCACTGAGTTTCAGAGGGTAAAGTTCACCTTCTGGTTAAGCAAAATAGGTTTTCTGAGGTTACTGGAGGAAGGAGAAGAGGACAAAGAGGAAGTGAAGTGGCAGATGTGTCCTCCCTTAAGTACTATTAATCCTGCAACCTTAAATTTAGGAGTGGGTAACTTCAGTAACCCGCGAGGATCTATCGCTATGCAAAGTTCTCCTCTTTTATTTGGTACAGCGTTCCTTGGGAGCACTGTCAGAGTAACTGCATCGGACCTGCAGTATCACAAAGCAGGCACCTGCCCCCCAGCCCTGAAAGGGAGAAAAAAGTCAAAAGTAATGCTGCCTTCCCCACGTTAATAATTTGATGAAGCACTCTTGCCCTATTTTGCTGTTGGAATTTGCTTTGCAGAAAGAGAAGCAGATAATTGGGCTTATTTCTTCCAAGTTTAGTGGCTTTGTTTCATGTGTAGAACTGCTGCTAGTACACTACAAGAGGCTAAGCGCAAATGCAGAGCACAGATTTTTTTTTCTCTCTTTAACTTTTTAATTTCTTCTTTACCTTCTGTCCTCTACCTGTAACAGACAGAGTACAACCTTCAAGGAGATGAGATAAGCCGAGATCTTCAGCAAGCTGATCTCTTGCTGTTCTGGTATTTTTCTTGGCAGCGGGTGAGACCCACGTACCTCTGGAACGGCACTGCTGTGTTACAGCTTCAGCAGCCTTTGATGCAAACTGCACTCGGTGCCCAGAATTACCGACAAACCGCTCAAAGAAAGTTGGCTCGTACGGTTTAAATCCCGGGCATCAGCGGGCAAGCCTCCATCCCCAGCTCATGGTGTTCCTTCTGCTCCTGGCAGGGGCCCAGCATTTAGCAGTTTTTCCATAGGGAGGAAGTGCTCAGTTTCTAAAATTTGCAGATACGGCATATTAGCTTCCCCCTCTTCGATAACAGGTGTAGCCCTTAGCAGCCAGGGACACTCGCCGGATTTTTTCGCCAGTAGCCGCTGCCAACACATTCTTCTTTAAAGCACGGAGTTTACATTACAGCAACGAAAAGGGGCCACCAGGAAACGTTACAGAGCAGCTCTGCAAAGCTCTGCCTGCCTGGCAAGGCTTGTTCAGCAACCAGACACAATCTGATCTTTATCTTGAATGAAACCTCATTATTATAATGGCATTGTTAGCCTTCG